TTGCCTGGAGGGAGGAACCTGAGGCGCTGCGTTCACGTCCTCTGCTCGCTCGCCCTCGCTTTTACACAATAGGTGAATAGACTCGGGTTTATATAAGGCCAGAAGGGGAGTCCTGCGTGTGCGTAGGTGAAGAGGGTAGCAATGTTGATAATTATGGAAGTGATGATGATAGTAATGATAATGATGATGATGATGATAATGATAATAATGATGATGATGATAATAATGATAATAGTGATGAAGATGATAATGATAATAATGATGATGATGATAATAATGATAATAATGATGAAGATGATAATGATAATAATGATGATGATAATAATAATGATAATAAGGATGATGATGATAATATTACTAAAGATAATGGTGATGATGATGCTAATATATAATATTAATAATTTTTCGGAATGTTAATGATAATGATAATAATAATAAAAAAATAATGATGATAATATTATTACTCTTATGGTGGTAATGATAAATGCTATCATCATTACTGTTACCATTACCACGAACATCACTATCATCATTATTTCCTTTTCCTTCTCCTTCTTTTTCTCCTCCTCATTCTATTATGATAATCGCCGTTACTATATTAGGGAAGAGACTGCATCAGAATTTTTGTACAACGGACAATGCTTGTCGTTATATTGTGATTGTGAGGCATGCTATTCTTTTTCAGTGCAGTTCTCTCTCTCTCTCTCTCTGTCTCTCTCTCTGTCTCTCTCTCTCTTTCTTTCTCTTTCTCTTTTTTTTCTCTCTCTTTCTCTTTCTCCTTCTCTTTTTTTCTCTCTCTCTTTCTGTATGTGTGATGTGTGTGTTTGCGCGCGTGTTTGTACGTGCGTGACAACATCAATAACAACTGTAACCTTGTGAGGTAAATTTTCCACTATAATTTCATTTTCTCATTTATTTCATCATCAACACCCCCCACCCCCCCTCCTCAATAAAAAAAGAAGAAGAAAAGAGTAAGAAAGAATCGAAATCCTCTCTCGAAGTTAGAAATGACGAAGAGGTGAATAGACATGCAAAAATAAGACTAATTTACGGTTCAAAAGAGTTCGGCTCAGCTTTCCCTCACGGCTGTTCCAAGGCTATGCAGAGGAGGGGGTGGAGGGGGGGGAGCTGAAGGGGGGAAGAATGGGGGGGGGTGTAGCTGGAGGGGGGGGGTGTAGCTGGAGAGGGGGGAGACGAGGGGTGGCCGGAAGGGGAGGAGAAGGGGGGTAGGGGTGGCTGAAGGAGGGGAGGGGGAAGGAGATGGATAGGGGGGGGAGGGGGAGGAAAGAAGGGGGGATAGCCGGAGGGGGGAGAAGGGGGGTGGGGGTGTCCGGAGGAGGGGAGGGGAAAGGGGATTGGGTGGGCGGAGGGGGGGAAGGGGGTGGCAAGGGTAGGGGGGAGGGGGGGAGGGGGTGTGACCTCCTCTCTCCTTCCTTATTTGTGTCTCTCTTTCTTCGCTTCTCTTTTAGTCCCTTTTGATATTTCAAAATTTTCGTTTCCGCATTTTCTGTATTTTTAAGAGAAATGAGAAGAGTAAGAAGGTAAATGGAGGACGAAGAGAACTGAAAGAAAGATGAGGATGAGGATTAAAGGAAGAAAATGAAAGAGGAGGAGAAGGGAGTGGAGGAGAACGAGATAAGAGAGCAGGAATAAAGGGGGTGGGAAGAGAAGCGCCAGGAGAAAAGGAGATGGAAGAGAGGAAAGATTAAAAGGACGAGAATAAAAGGGGGGAGGGGAAGAGGTCAGAAGAAGGAGCAAAGAAGGAGGTAGGAGAAAAAGAGGAAGATGTGGAGGAAGACAGAGAAGAAGAAGAGGAGGCAAACGGGCAATCCCCCCCCCCCTCTCTCTCCCTCCGAAGGTCTGCCTGCCTGTTACATCATCCAGATGTGGTTTGGCGACCCAGGGAGCGGAGGGCCTGACCTCTCCCTCCCTCTCTCCCTGCCTCTCCCTCTCTCTCTCTCTCACTTTCTCTTCCTGTCTCTCTCTTTCCATCTCACTTTCTCTTCCTACCATAGTCTCTCTTTTTTATGATTCTCTTTATTCTTGCCTTTATCTTTCCCACTTTTTCACTCTCTCTCTCTCTCTCTCTCTCTCTCTCTCTCTCTCTCTCTCTCTCTCTCTCTCTCTCTCTCACTCTCTCTTACTCTCTCTCTCTCTCTCTCTCTCGTTATATCTTGCTCTCTCTGTTTTTCTTATATTTTTTTCCAACCTTTACTTCCTCTCTCTCCTCCATCTCTCTCTCCATGATCGATCCCGTACAAATACATATACACAAACGTGACGAGTCATTAAGTACGTAACTGTGGCGGTGTGCCAGCGAGGTCGCCCGTTGTTACCTGCTTTGTGTAGGCGAATGCGCAAAGGAGGAGTGGAGAGGAAAGAAGAGAGAGGTGGGGAGAGATTGAGGGATAGAGAGGATAAAGATAGACGGATAGATGTGTATGTATACACACACACAAAGCGCACGCATGCATGTACGTACGCGCGCACACACACATACACAAACATATATATATATATATATATATATATATATATATATATATATATATATATATATATATATATGTATGTATATAAAGAGAGAGAGAGAGAGAGAGAGAGAAGAGAGAAGAGAGAGAGAGAGAGAGAGAGAGAGAGAGAGAGAGAGAGAGAGAGAGAGAGATAGAGAGAGAGAGGGAGGGAGAGAGAAAGGATAGAAATAGATAGATAGATAGATAGATAGATAGATAGATAGAGAGAGAGAGAGAGAGAGGAGAGATATGCAAATAGCGAAGTAGAAGGAGAGATTATTAGCGTCGGCACCAACTAAACACCTTGGGAGACTCCCTGTTGTCTACAGAATGTCTTCAGGTATTTACATTTTTTTTTGCCTTGTCATCGATATCCAAGGTTTTGTGTTCCCTGAGATCGCTACCTAATTGTTTTCTAATGTGTTGTCATTTTATTTCTCCATTCTTTTCTATTCATTTTTATCGAGATTACTGTTACTATAATTTCATTTTTCTTATAACTAGAATGATTACTAATATACAAATAGACATGGATAGATATACAACTGGAAATATTTTTTTATAAAGGCAGCTTTAGGTTCGTAGCGTGTGAAAGAGCATGTAGTTAGATAGACAGACTGACAAACAGGTAGACTGAGAGAGAAATAGATAGCTAGATGGTGAGAAAGACGGACAGGCAGATAGATAGATAGGTAGATATAGAGACTGATAGCTAGCGATAGATAGATAGATAGCCAGATTTACAGAGAGAGAGAGAGAGAGAGAGAGAGAGAGAGAGAGAGAGAGAGAGAGAGAAAGAGAGGGAGAGAGAGAGAGAGAGAGAGAGAGAGAGAGAGAGAGAGAGAGAGAGACTCCCACCCGGCGCTTGACCACTGTTCTTTGCTAGGTTTGTTCCTGTGAGTCATCGCTCACTGCACTGACCCGACCTGATGATGAGGATGATTGGATGGTGATGATGATGATAATGATGATGATGATGATGATGATGATGATGATGATGATGATGATGATGATGATGATGATGATGATGATGATGATGATAATGAGGATGATGATGATTAGGATGGTGATGATGATAAATAGGATGATGATGATGATGATTTTGATAAAAAAAACAAATGAATGAATACCTGCAAATCAAAACATTTTATATAAGCAGCCTCAAAATACAAAAAAAAAAAGAATAAAAAAATGCAAATTTTAGAAATACGAAAAAGAAAATTAAAGTGACGATAACAGTAAGGAGCACAGAACATGGAAGCAGTCATAAGATAGGAGAAAAACGAATTGTTGATAACGAGAGACGATAAAACGATAAAAGCTTGCCGCCTTTGCAACACCGGCGTTAGCGAAAAGATCGACGTGGCATTTCGCTTTATAAACAAAACCCTATTTCTGCGAGCTGGATGGAAGTTAGTAAATCCCAAAAGCACTTTCGAACCACGGGTTATATAACACTTGAGCGACGACTACAGGCTAAAGTTAGTAAACGACTTAAATGCTTTTAAATACAAACCAAACGGAATATGCATCATTGTATATTTGAAATGTATACAATATGCAACCGACTAACAACGATTTACAACCCTATAATATTGCAAATATATTCCTGCAAAGTCGAAATGTGCGGATAACTCATTTGCTCCACTGCTCAAGGTGTCAATTGCAAAAGCCGGTTACTGCAGCTTGCCTGACATTCTAATCTCAAGGTTGATTCAATATAAATATGTGTCTTCCCTTTAAAAAAAATACGAAATAGTTCCCCCAAAAAAGATTTAGAAAAAGAGGAAACTTATAAAAGAATTATTGGGCGTCGGCTGTGAGGCGCTGGACCAAAACATTATGGCATGTTTTGTGTATATTTCAAACCGCGAGAATGTCAGCTGGGCTTTGCCGTTTGCCATTATTATTTCTATATCATTGTCTTTCTTTTCGTTTAATTTAAATCCTTTCTTCTTGATCTTTGTGATAAACTAGCTAATTTTATTCTTGGACGATCGTGAAATACAGCTCCGTTATTGTTCTTATGCAATAATAGCAATGTGTGGATGGTCATACAAGCAAAGTTCAGTCGTGATGGAGTGCATGGACGGGCGAGCAGGGAGGTGTAGATACAGAGAGAGTGATTAAACACGCAAAGCAAATGCAGGATATACATATATATATGTATATGTATATATATATATATAC